AATATACAAACTGCCAGTTGAAATAAAAAAATGGGGGATATAAGACAATGAAAAAATGGATACTGTTACTGAAATTACTCTTAAATATTGAATAAAGCATTTGAATTAATTGATTTTTTTGTATTTTTCAATTCCATTCATTTTTTAATGAATTTTATTTATTTATATTTCATTTATTTATTTATTAAGATCTATCTATTATTATTAATGCAGTTGTCAACAGTGGACTTAAAGTGTCACAATCAATATAAAATCAGTTTGGTTATGTAAAAACCAACTAATAAGTACAAGATGTGAAACGTGCACTTTCAGCATGGATATAGATGTGATCCAAGCATTAAAATTTTAGTTTGTGTGATGAAATAATGAACAAATACAGTTCAGTTTTCTTCAGTTTTATTTAATAAACTATGATATTCTAGTATAATAGGGGAAACAACATTCACCTGAACCAGTCAGTGGACATAAAAACCCTGTTAAAATTCTAATAGTCTACAGTCAAAGCGCTGGTTGAATAATCCGGGGTGCCATGAATCGACCATCTTTTCATTAGTTGTGCGAGCATAAAATCATTTTCAAGAGACTCACAGTAGGTTTATACTGATATGGGAATAAATGGTCCCCGAAACAAACACCTGGATTTGAAAATATCCTCAACTTTTACGAATGCAAGTATACAAATAACATGATTGAAGTTTTTAACATATAAACTGCCTTGAAATTGAAATTCCTAGACAAGCAAACTAAAAATTATACACTTTTCCATCGTAAGGCCCAGAACTTGGATACTTAATCGACCAGCATTGTTAGTCTACGGGTGCATATTCAAAATATTAATGTGTTTGTCCGTTGTCATGGTAAATTGAATGGCTGTAAAAAAGAAAAAACGGAAAACGGTTCACAATGCACCGGTCGATATTTCGCGCCCGGGAAAATGTGATAGACGCCAGCACCTCGCAGGATTAGCCGCTGATATAGTTTGCAGACAGATCGATTTTGAAAACACATTAATAATTACTGTCTGCCGTTATAGTAGTCGACAGACTGATCGCACCGAGATTTAGTGTCAATAGCTTAGTTTTCTCCCCAATACCAGCAAAGAACGTCTATCATCTCCATTAATTAGCTTTGGTGGTGGAATTCCATGGTCATTCATTTTTTAAAATTAATTTTATTTATTTATTTATAACTCAGGGCGAGACATTTTCGTGTATGCACGTAATATTTATCAGATTCTGCGTCTAGTTTTTTCTCCTTTAAATGCGTAACAACATACAACCTGCCTTTGTCCTGCGTAGGCTAGTGCAGTTACGTTAGATCGTTGAGCTTTCCCCTGGTTGTACAGTCTGTAGTAAAGAACTAAAAACGACAGCGCTTTTTCTTCTTCTTTACGAACACACCCATCTCGATCCACCTAAATATTAGTAATTATTACTTTTGTGAAACAATGTTAGGATACTAAATATATTTGATCGTATCTTTGTCCTACTTAGGCTATTGCAGTTATGTTATTGGTAAGATCGTTGACGTTTTCCCCTGGTTTCATGCGTAATAGTTAAGTCCCAAAAACGAAAACGTTCTCTCTTCTTCTTAACGTGCACAGCCATCTCCATCCACCTAAAATTACTTTTGTCAAACAATACAAGTATACCAAATAAATGGCGTTTTACCTTTCAAGGTTGGAAATTCCTTAAGTTTTCTATTCACAACTACCCAATCTGTAGCCTACGTCTTTTTAGTAATCTAAACATTTCCCTACTTCCTACATCAAACTCCCACACGCTAATCTTTATCACAGATATCACAATTATACTAGAACATTCATAATAATAATGATAATAACACATTTAGAAAGAAGGACACCGCCTCATTTCTTGGCAATTTTGGACTGACTCGGCTTCTTCTTGGACTTGGAGCTAAGGGTGACCCGGCCGGCGGGACTTGGGGATTTACTGGTCGCTCGCATCTTCCTCTTCTTCTGTACTTCAGCCACGTGAAGTTTCAAGTTCGGGAAAATCTCATTGTGTTTTTCCAGGAGTGGTATATATTGGTATTTTCCTGGTAAAGGGGAGGAGGAGTCGCCGTCCCCGTTGTAGTTGTCATCGTCTGGTGGGAGCATCTGTTTCTCCACTAGGATGTAAGTGTTGTGGGAGACCAGATATTTGGTTGCATAATCGTGCTTGTGTGCATCCAACTCCTTTATCAAACCTGCAAATACAGAAATCTACTTGAGACGACATTTTTAAATCGAGAAATTGGCACTCTTCAGATAGCATGTAAACTAATGATGACATGATTAACGACTCTGGATCAATAAACGCTATATAAAACCTCCCATCCACGGGCTGATGTTTTATTTACTTGGTTAGCTTATCTTTAACTTTTTCATTAATGAACTAGAATGATAAAATGTTGTTCTTTGACCAAGCCGATGAACTCTTATGCACGACCGACATTTTTCAGGTGCTTATAATGAAGTGAAAGAGTACATAAATACAAGTTGTTAAATAAACCATACCGGTCCGGCAGATATTCAGTTATTTCATTTAAAGGGGGATAGGGCGAATTCAGCAGATTTTCATGGCTTGTCATATGTATTGTAATTAGTATAGTGAACGATAGTAGTACTATTCTAGTAGTAATAGAAGTAGTACCGACCCGGTAGTACATGTAGTAGAGTACGTTTAGTAGCGATGTGTCCGAAGAGAGAAAACTTCGTAGACCACTGTACATGATAGTATAAAGATTTGACTGGTATTAACACGATGAAACGTAACACAATTCAAATGCTAATTTGATTAACTAGCAATACGTGTCGGGATCTAAAAAACTTAGGGTTAGAACTCATATGGCGGTTCCTTATCTTAGTATCAAAAGTTCACGGAAACGATCTTGGAGCCGGGTAGCACTTTTTCTCAAAATCACAGCCGAGTTTTGCTGCATGAAGATACTTCACTAATTCTACGTTCCACCCGATATGGACTCAAGTAACCCCCTACCGACCCTCACCTGTTTCGTCGGACAAGTCCAGGCTAACTGGAGTGTTACCGAAGCCTGTCCGTTTCTTAATGTTGTTGAGCAGGTTCACAACGGCACAGCTCGGGTTGCAGATCAACTCCTCGTTGTTCCCGTATTTAACTATAATAAACATCGTCTTAAATAATATAGATTCTCTCTCTAGCCTTCATATAGTCCATGGAGTATTTCGAGAGATCTCCATCTAGCTCGACCTTATTCGGTGTGTTCAAGGCTTTTGGTTAAACAGTTAATGTGATAGGCTCTGTATGACCTACTGCTTGCAGTAAGCCCGTATCCCATAGCGACCTTGTTATTCAAATCTCGTTTAGTCACCCCCCACAAACATTGAATCCGTGTCATTCTGTTCCGAGCCAGCGAGACGGAATCGCATGGATTGTGCGTCCGTAACTGTAAATGGAGCCATTAAAGCGTTTGTTTGAACTGAAAATAAAATAATTCTTATCGAGTTGTGACGTTGTTGGTATTGTAATGTTAGAGCCGACCCAGGATTGCTCGTGTATTAATCAAAGTTTCAGGGGCAAATGATAATAATAATGATAATTTTCACAAATCGGCTAGGTTAATTTACAAAGAAGTGTTGCATTTAAAGCGCAATTAACCCGCTCAATTTTGTATTTCTGTTGATTATAATTGATAATATCATGGGTACTGTTTATTATATGATTAACTACATATTTTACCCACTCACGCATCAATTCTTCTGTTCATTCAGCTTTTCCTCCCAATAAAATAAGGTCGTTTCCACGTTTTTAAAGGCGTTTTTATCCAACTGAGGACCTATTGTAAATTATTCTATTGTTAGAAATTGTGTTTGGCATAAAAAGGACAATTTATTGAATGCTCTTTTAAGATGAATAATGCTTTTTTTTTCTTAAAAGATATATATGACTACGTTTTTTTTTTTTTTTGTTATTTCTGTTTTTAATTAGTAAATTTTTCTTGAAAAAATGTACAATTCAAGTTTGCCTCCAACAAATAAATGAAAAACCCCCGAATAGATTACACAAAATTAACATATGCAAATCACTGTATTCTCGATAGAGCACTGATGTCGTGTAAGTCTTTATTTTATGGAATTTTCACCACGGTGAAAACAATTTCTACCGCGGTGAAAATAAAACTTAAATGAAAATAGAAAAAAGTTAATATGATACTAACAAAGCTCTGTACCTTCCGTTATTCTGGCAGATTCACTCACACTATTTTTATTTCCACATGAAGTGGTCTTATTCTTATTATTTCAGAAAACATCTGATAATTATATTTCACTGCTTTTGACGAAAGGGTTCTACAGTCCAATGGCAGATTGCGCGCGTCTTCTCTAGCGCAATGTTGCTGCAGTACATCGCTGCATTGTGCTTGCAATAAAAACGAGAGGAGAGACTGGGATAATTCTTGTGCGAAATAAACTTTTTACTTCCACTCGATCCTTCAGATTACGTTTACAACAACGCTCCCCTGCAACGGATTTCATGTAAAATAGTTCGCATACCAGGGTACGTACTTCTTAAAATCACAAGACTATTCCTTCATAACACATTTATTTTTCACTCACTTGTAAATTTTCTTGTCAACAAAACACAACACCTAAAGAGCTAAATATAAGTTGGAATTAGACATCTTGCATCTGTTATTAGGGGAGGGATGTCTTCATAAATATGGTCTGACTGCATACTATCCAGATTCATACTCTTGCATAAAATCCAATCTTTACATCACTCAATGTTTTAAAGCATATCTATGAAATTTAATTCTTGTGATGACTCCCATAACAAGTACATGAAAATATCCTCACAAATTTTCTTTTATGCACTCTAAAATTTTGAAAAGTTCAAAAACTTTTTTCAAAAAGGGTGATGCTGGCAAATTGTATTAGAGCTCTATTATTTGTTTGTCATATCAAAAAAGTGCTTCTTCTGTTTTTTTTTTTGATTATTATTATTGTTTTGTAGTTTCAAAAAACAAATAACCCAACATTTTTCCTTTTCCCACTAGCTCCATATATCCCCTAAAACTGAGGTTCTTTTTTTAGGAACAGGGCTCTCCCTCTGATGTGAATGATCTTCCTTGTGCAGCATCTTCACCAACATCATCCTGGTAGCAAAGGCCTGGCTGGTTTGCTTGCGGTACACAAAGTACGATCCAAGCAGTCCCAAGAGGACTGCTCCCATGATGCCTCCCACTGTTATCATGGTAACCGTGAGGTCCTCGGGATGTTGTGCTCCATATGTCTGTACCGCAAAGGAGATTTCTAAGTCACAGAAACTGAAATATGAGAAATAATGTTGGGTGATACAGCTGAACCACTAATTGACAAAATAATATAAATAAATTAAATATATAAAATAAATTGACTAATTTTGTCCTACTTTTTAACTTCTTTTCTGCAGCCTGCAATAATGTCTGAAAGGCATATTAAATCTTCTGATCTCCAGTTAAAATAATTATTCAAAAAAGGTTGCATTACATATGCTAAGTACAGTACAAATGCCAGATGGTCTTACCTGTAGTTGGGGTCTACAATTCTGGCCCGGAAGGTATACATACTGTCGTGGGTGTTAGGAAACTGTAACCAAGACACACCTGTGGAGTTCAGGATCTGATACGGTCTCTGCAGCAAACTGCTGTCAATTACTGTGTTTGTCTCTTCAAAACAGCTCCTATAATTCTAAAAAAATATATACTGTTTAAATTTTGAGGTAGAAAATTTGAAAACAAACAAAAAACATTTAATCTCATATGAATTGTTGTATCATATTCCTTTGGTTATTATACATGTTGTTTTAATACAAATTACAGAATTTCAATCCAGAATCCTACATTTCTACTAAACTCTACAGCTCTACACAACATCAAGCACATAAAGAAACTGGGTTATACTTAAATATACATGTATTTACCCAAGGACCCCACCCCTGTCCCCAGTCAGTGAGCATGCCCTGCTCGTCTCTGATCTGTGACCAAGTCTGAGCCACCTTATGACACCCTGCCTGCAAAGGGTTAAAAAAAAAACAACTAAATTTCTATTACGGCAATTACTTTTTAATTCTCTTTGACCTTATATGAATAACTGAATCAAATTTGCACCAAACTGTCTTTTAGTTGAAGAAGAAAAAAACTATCTCTTTGCCCTTTTAATCAATACGTACAGTAGTCACTGAAAAAAATATCCCAGACTACAAACTACATATTTAAGTTTTACCTGTTTCATGGTAGCATTATAACTGTAGTCTGTTCTACCTTGCTCCTCCCATAGTATGAAATTGCCAGTCACAGGACGGACAAATTCCTCACCATCATACCTTAAATCAGGGAAAAAAGAAATAATAAAGGCTACGACATGTGCAAACACAAACTTGGCAATAATACCGGTATATGCACATGGTACTCATACACATTAGTAAAAAGTAAACAAAGTAAATATTAACAAAGTTTCCAATGGTAATGTTCTAAAACTTAAATAATGAACATGATCATGGAGAAATAACTGCACACACGTACTACATGTACATATTTCATATTTCATACACTTACAGCTCTAACTGTGGCAGAAAAGTCTCACTGATAATTCAATTTTCATATTTCCCATACACTTACAGCTCTAACTGTGGCAAAAAGTTGTGACTGCTGTCCACTCTAACTGGACATCCCAACCTGACCAGGTCATAATGGACAACCTGGGGGAGAAGAAGGAATTACAGACAGAGAAATTGTATACTTAATATACTGTAAATAGGACTTAGAGATAATAATAATAATAATAATAATAATAATAATAATAATAATAATAATAATAACTTAAAAATATATATAGGTAGTTAAGTTATTAAAATGTATAGTACAATGTAAACAGATATGTGGACAGTTAAAAATTTTAAGATATCAAAACATAGTACAATGTCAAGATAACAGCCAGTTAAATCAGTTATAACACTTTTTTCAAATAAAAGATTTTAATTTATTTTAAAAATTGTAATCAGACTCTATGTTGGTAATTAAAAGCATTTTGAGAATGTAATTAATTTTTATATAAGTATATAAAAGTAACTGATTTAAATGTATTAATTAACATTTCTTCACAGTAAGGTAAGATATAAGTCTATTAAAGGCCAGTGAGGAAATACTGACTATGTATGTATATCCATGGCATGCAATGTTGACTGTCGGAGAGGTGTCACTGCATGGTGGGTATTTTCTTCAATTAAAATTTTGTTTTTGTTAATAATAAAATACAACACACTTATATAAAAACAATTAATTACACTCAAGTATGGGATCTAGACAACAATAAACTAACCTTGTCCTGTGTGGGTGATGTCCCATCCAAATGCAGGAAATGTTCCCTGTAAAGATGGAATTGAAATGATTAGTTTAAATGCCAGTGACATCATTAAGTTTATCTCTCAAAAAATTCATAACGTTTTCAATAACACCATATAATGGAATACTAACTGATAAAACTGTCAAAGGTATTACATGGAATGAATAGAATGGAATGAAAATATTCCAACAATATATAAGGATTATATAAAAGCAACAAATTAAAGAGAGGTACTCACTTTCCAATAGTATATGTATCAACAGTATCACAGGGTTCACTTGCAGCTGGCCTAAAAGATAATTTTTTAAATTCTGAATTTTCTTTTATAATTAATATTTTAATAATTATATAGATTATTTTAAATGCTGGCAAACCTTTGTCAACTCAAGATTACATCACAAGCCTAATCTAAAAAACAGAATGTCGATATTAATTACTTCAAACAGCTCCGAGCAGTCTCAATCAATATAGCTGACAAAAATAAATCATTTATTAATAAAACAAACTAAATAATTTAAAACTTAAGATTTGGCCCTCAATTCTTGCCAGGATAGGTAGTTTATCTATAATCAGAAGTTATTTGTTTTTATACTGAAAAAAAGGTAAATTTACTCACCGTTTTAAAACCAGGTGTCTTCCCTTTGGACATCCCACAGACAGGTAGGAGACCTGGGGTAAAATCAAAATATTAAATTTTCTTGAAATTATTGGTGACAAAAATGCAAACTTTCCCCCTCCCCCCCCCCCTCAAAAAAAAAAAAAAAACTCTGAGTACAAAAAGTGCCCTCCAATAACCAATTTTGACAATGATCAATCACTCTGACTTAAGCAAAACTTCCGCTTTCTGTCTTTCATTTGTTATAAACTTATTTATCACATACTTACAATCTGGGTAGGAGATGGGCATATCAGGTTGATATTTGATGGTATCAGCTCAAAGCAAGAGATACCTGTTGCAAGTTTTCTAAAATGATAAAAAAAACCAATAATGTAACTATTTATTTATCTTACTAGTATGTATTTATTTATTTATTTACTAATTATCCTGTCTTCATCTTATAAACATTATGTTCATAATAAGCAGTGAGAATTTAAAAAATATTGAATGTCAGCGTGAGATTGATTTTGTAGAAAAGATATCTGGAAAAAATTCAATGTTGGATAAAACAATTTACAATAATGGGTTCTAGGAAATATCAAAGTCTGAATATTGTCAAAAGTTATCTTTTTAAAAAAAAATTGATTTAAGATTACTATTGCACTTACTTAGCAGTAGTGTAATTTGGGGACCTGTAAAAATCCATATGGTGGTAAAAGGTAACAGACTGGAAATGTAAAATAATATTTAAATCATTTTAAACTCCTCATACAAATAAGATAAACAGGGTTTAAAACATTAACCAACTACACATGAATGCTAGTCTTTCGGCTTTGATAGATCATATTCCCAAGTAGGACTTTTTTTCCAGAATTATTTTTATCTTCAGTAAGTACTTAAGTTTGCACCAAGTGTCATAAACAATTCTGTGCAATGCAGAAGTTTTATAAAGTTGTTAAAATTACCATTAACAGCGTACCTGTGCTTTTTAAAAAATCAAGTGAATACAATGTACGCAGCTATCATTTTTATTCCCTGGAACTAAACACCTAACTTGAATATCATACTGAACATATTACAGACCTTGTTATGAGCAATAACACCTCTTCCCTACTGAACATATTACAGACCTTGTTATGAGCAATAACTCCTCTTCCATACTGAACATATTACTAAAATATTGTTATGAGCAATAACTCCTCTTCCATACTGAACATATTACTGAAATATTGTTATGAGCAATAACACCTCTTCCATACTGAACATATTACTAAAATATTGTTATGAGCAATAACACCTCTTCCATACTGAACATATTACAGACCTTGTTATGAGCAATAACACCTCTTCCATACTGAACATATTACTGAAATATTGTTATGAGCAATAACACCTCTTCCATACTGAACATATTACAGACCTTGTTATGAGCAATAACTCCTCTTCCGTACTGAATATCAGAGTTTGCTCTGGACTTGACAAGAGTGGAGTTATGATTAAACATCTGGAACATATTTAATACAATACGCTCAAAATTTTCAATTTCAATCATTAATTTTTTTCAACACTAGTGCTATATAACTGAAATTTAAGTTTCAGCACAGAAAATAAACTTTATCCATTTACCTAAAGAAACATTCAGCATTCTCTGGTCTGGGTGATTTCTCATAACCAGAAATACTTAATTATATAAACTAACTTCTCTCAAATCTTGTACAGGTTCCTTTTTAATTTACCCCCCCCCCCTCCTCCCACCCCCCACCACCACATCCTACCTGTAGAAATCCACTGTGGATATCAAGGAACACTAACATTGCCCAGA